TTCAACTTTGTTGATACATTCAAATTATTTCGTTACCCCCACCGACGCAGCCCCAAACAGTTTCTTTAGAAACTATCAGCCTTTATTCATATTAAAGGCCTGTAATACTTTGAAGAGACCGAAGATTTTAAATGCTTCTATTACACAGCGTGTTCAAGTTATACATGTAACCAATTTTCCGAGGGCTAAGATAAAATAAATGAATAAATATGTAGTTTTCTTGGCTGAATAAGATTTTATCTCATATTAATTACACTAACTGAAAAAAAAAGAAATAAAAAAAAATAAGAATAGGAAAAAAAAAAACGAAGGAAAACAAAACCTTATCAGCGTTCGGAGAAGAGTCTGGGAACAATCAAAAGTAACTCGCCTAGTAGCTTCTGAGTAAGAGTGTTAGGGGAACAGTCATAATTTATCATCTCGGTGTGGGGTGGGGTGGGGGGGCGGACAGAGGATTTTGAGGAGAATCGCATGGTTTACCGATGGAAAGGAAGAGGGTTCAGTCGTCTCAAAGAGCATTAAGGGGGACAATAGAAAACTGACTCCTGATCAGGGGGGTCATTACAACACTATAGAGCCTTAGGGGGGAATCAGGTAATTAATTATGACCCGAGCCTCCCCTCCCAGTTGGATGGTCTTTTAATAGACTTAACCAAATTTTTGAATTTGTAACTGTTTCAAGTCTATACATAACTTCAACTGAGTTAGCTGCTTCTAAATTATGATTTTTCTTTCCGTTCATTTTGCCGCTGCATATCAAACTGTTTACCCACTGCGATGGACATTTGTTTTTGTCGGTTCCAGCCTGGCGCGGCCGCTAACCCAGATGCCCTCCTGAGCAAATTTAACAAAATGGCAGGCAAGCAAAAGAGAGAGATAAGAGAACCAAAGGAGTCCTTTTATCTCACATCTCTGATATGTCGCCACAGCAAAAATCTCAGTTCTTATTTCTTGTTAGTCATAAATCTTAAAAGATTTCTTTCTCATTCATTTTGTCATCAGGCATCCTGTTCAGCGAATTCCTGTATAACACAGGTCAGTTATAAACTTGCTATCCTATTTTAATTGAGTTCAAATAACTTTCAATCTTTTAACTCCTATGTTGAATTAATTCTATACAAAGACTTTAACCTTATTGTGCGTAGGGTTATGATTAGAAATTTGGAAAAATATTGCTTTTCGGGGGATGGGAGACTGGGTAATCTAGCCCCCCCCCCCCAGGTCTTGTCTTCCTCGAACAGACGGACGAAAATGTGTGAACAAGTATACTGAAGCAGTGTCAATCAAATTATTCACAAATTCGTTTAATTTGTAGGAAAGGGTTTTTTATCATCAGACCATGACTCCATCCTGGCTGGAAATGTACGCCTCATACATTGACAGCTCACGTGTACTGACCGCTGCACAGCTCACATTCAACGCGGGCAACGTAGATAACGCTGCCCTTTTAAAGATACCCATGATTCCTGCCGGTACACTTAGAGATTCAATGCCGCTGACAATTGAGATCACGGTCGCACATGACGTAAGCATTGGTCAAGGAACCGACAGTGATATCGCATATGGCGTGTCAGATGGTAACAGAATGATTGGTTTTCACACATGGGACAAGGGAAACTACAATGATCGGTCTCCTTGCAACGGAGTGGAAGGTGTCTCCGGATCCACCTTAACGTCTGTTCGCCTCGAATCACTTACTCCAAAACCAAGCGATTCTTTCTACCCTGGTCAGTATGTTTTAACTCTTAAGTTGGATCAACGCTGGGGATCGTGCTATACCGCGCATGACGGAGGCTTCGTGAGCACCGCTGGCTTCAACAGTCGACTGACGTTCAGTAAGGGACTTACTTTGGAGGTGTACAAAGGCGACAAAGTCGAGCGAGTTGGCATCCGATACATCAAGGTCACCATTATAGGAGATGATGCTTAGAGGAAGGAACCTTAACTTATAATCACCATCACTCGATTTCATCGGCATTAATAGGATAGTTGTAACCATGGTTATGAAGGCAGAGGAGTTGAGAGGTAGAAAAAAAATAACAAGAAAACTTGTAATTGTAATTTTTTTATCAATAAATAGAGGTACACAAATGAGATCTTGAACTATTTTTTCCAAGTCATGGGCGCGTTAGCTATCATCAGAGAAAACGAGTTAGCAGTTTTACTTGTGTTGATATTGCATGTATCATGGTATCTTTTCTTTGGTGTTGCTGTTATCGTCATGGTTGATTTTTTTTTATCTTGCAAAGCCGCTGGTTTCTCAATTGCATTACCAAAAGATCTTCAAATCTGCTACTTTTGTCAATGAAAATTTTGGTATTTGTGCGAGAGATAGAATAATTCTGAAAAATTGACCTACTTCCTTTTGTGATATGTCAAGAGTACAGCAAGAAGAGCTCGTAAAAAGAGTCAGCGCTGAGTCCGCGGAACACCTGACACCAGATAGTTATTGGTTCCGATCAAAATCATAAAACACGTGAAACAAATAAAAAAACTAACAAAAAATACCTTATTATCACTTATTTTCACGCGACTTAAATTTCGCGTATTTGGAATAAAAATATTTTGGAGGACCTGAAATTCGTGATTTTGACGAATCACCGTTTTTCAAGGTAATTAAATTTAAATTTCGCGAATCAAGAAACTGGTGCTCGTTTTTTAAACTTCCATTTCTGTTATTATTTAACCATAACGAAATAGAAACCTCAAACGCAACAATTAAACAACTGGCTGAAGTTTTCAACAATCTCAGCAACTTAGAAACATCTTTCAAAAGGGTTGATACAAGGAAGATGAGTCAGATGATGAGCAATAATGTGTTGAACAGAAATTTGAGCCGTCCTACTCATATGTAAATAAACTCCCAGCAGACGGAAAACTTAAATAAAGGATTTTATATAGGTCTCTAAATTTCGCGTCCTTAATTTTCGCGGCACTCTTTTATCGCGGGACGTTAATTTCGCGAATTTTTTAAATCGCGAAAATTAAGTCTCGCGTAAATAAGTGATAACAAGGTAGTCGCTAGTCGTTGACAGGCTCTGGTAGGTGAAACTTGGGGCAGCCCTTGCAGGCTCAGGAATTCGCCATCACCGTTGTGTAGAACCACATGAAAACAAACATTGAAATTTTCCGTTCCAACACGAATGATTCGGCGAAGCTTCAGCCAGCTTCCTCGCAAGGTAAGGCGTAGATCGCAATTATTTTTCCTTATTTATTGATGCTGTGAGGACTCTGAAGTATTCAGCTATTTTTCTACACTCCCAATAGTCTCAAAACGAACGTAACAGTCTTGTTTTACAAGAGTGTTTTCGACCGCTATCAGTGTCGACGAAACCCGCACAACACCTTAAATCGTATGGGTAAGGAAATCACCTTCTTTCATTGAGCTTAATATTTTCCAAAGATAAAATGATTTCTTTGCACACAGTATGTATGAGTAAGGGTAATTTGAAGGGTGTGGAACATAAGGTCTCGTACTAGCTAGGTCTAAAGAAATGTGTAGTAGCCTTTCCCTGTGAAATCAGTATATCTTACGTTCTTAGCCCATTAGCCAACTGGTAAGGAAAGTCAAGATCGTTGAGGTGGGACCGAGAGATGGACTTCAGAATGAGCAGGTAAAATAAAAAGATTCAATATGCACCCTAATCACATTAGTTTTCATTGTTACTGTCTAGCAGCTACGTATATCAAGTGCGATAGCTTGTTGTTTTGATGATGATGACGATAATAATGATGATGATGATGATGAAGATGATATGTAATGGCAATAGCAACATTAAAAGTTTGTTTTGTCAACTCTATTCCAGAGGATTGTTCCCACTGAAACAAAGATCAGTTTGATAGACAAGTTGTCAAAGACTGGCCTTCAGGCAATAGAAGCAACCAGTTTTGTTTCACCAAAATGGGTTCCACAGGTATGTGAGGGGGAAGAGAGGTTAGAGAACAAAGGAGTGGGCTGGTATACATTGTGTACTTTGGCGAATGAGTAAGGTGTATTGTTTAAAAGAAACTCACCCTTAAAAGTTGGCAGAATGCTTTTCTATCCTACAGCTTCTCTCAGAATAAATCTAACAAAATTAAGGTGTTCAGTGGCCCTGAAACAAGTTAAGAGAACATCACTCTCTTGAAAACGCTACAGTTAGTTGCAAATTACTCTTCTGCTTGTGATGAAACTAAACAGCATGTTTTTACCAAGTTCTGCAAAACTCCTCCAAGAAATGTGTGTCCAGATAAGATGTCCAATACCATGCCAACTCCCTGAAGAAAGATTTGATCTAATAGGTTTTCATGCACTTGACTGTTTAACCCCATAGAATAACCAGCATTAAATTTCTACTGACAATTTCACCCCTAAATTAAACAGAGAGATGTTAAGAACAGAGAAAATGAATCCAGGCTAACTTTAGCAGCCCTTGATCATTAAACAAATTCTTTGTGTCAGTAATATAGGAAGTGTAACAGAGTAGCATAGTTTGTTTGCAGCTTGGCTCAAAATGAATCATCAAAGAGAAACAATTTTTCTGTAACCATAGCATCTCGGAGAAGGAACAGGAACCTCAATCAGAAGTGAGATGCTTTTCTGTGTGAATTCTAAAAGTAATTCATGGATGCTGTTTGATAGATGGCTGATCATGAACAAGTCATGCAGAGGATAAACAAAGTTCCAGGCATTTCTTACCCGGTGTTGACTCCAAACCTGAAAGGTTTTCAAGCTGCGGTTAGTGATGCAGCAATAAATTAAATGGATCATGTGTGCTCTTGATGGGTTTGGCTGATATGTAGGTCTGTGGTTGATTGATGTATTGGTTGATAATTAGCATATAGTTAGAAGTAACCTATTGTTTATCTGGCAGTGGATTGGCATTCAGCCAATTACTGACACAGATGAGCTGTTGGCTTTCTATTGAAATATCAAGGTATTGACAGAATAATCTGCAGACTATTATGTCCAACTAACCACAGACCATCAAAACCCTATCTTATTCATAGTTAAAGCATACAGAATGATATGAAATCTTAACTTACCGATAGGGCTCAGGTCTTCACTCAGACTCTTTCTTTGTACCATGCTTTCAACATTAACTTAATTTTGTTTTCTTTTTTTTTTTTTTTTTAATTTCTGACATTGTTTTAAAGGTTTTTTATGATGCCATGCCTCTGTGTGTGTTTTTATCTGCCTTTTGTAGTTGGAATGTGGAGTTAAAGAAGTGGCCATTTTTGGAGCTGCCTCAGAGTCCTTTAGTAGGTAAATTTAAGTTTCTATATCTTTAAGATGATCCAGCAAGTGACAAAACTAATCAAGAACAAAATCAATCAAGAAAAAACCTGAATGAGACATTTTCTTAGCTTTCTTGAGTCAGTTGTTACAAACTGGCATTGATTCATTTCTCTTTAAAAAATCATGCTTTGTGAAGTAAATTACTTTCTTACTCACTTAAAGGAAAAACATCAACTGCTCCATATCAGACAGCCTACAAAGATTTGAAGGTGTTTGTGAAGCTGCAAAAGAAAACAACATACCAGTGAGAGGGTGAGGTGTCTCGATGTCAAGTATGTTTGTGTGCTTGTTTGTTTTTTTTTTTTATTGCAGTTATGAGTAGTGGTGAAGTATTACAGAAGTATAATTATATAACTTAATGTTTGGGTATTGTAACTTAATCATTAATTCATTATGGCTGCCACGATGTTTTGGTGTTCCCTACTGTAATATCTGTCTTCTTCTTGTATCGTTAGTATATAATAATAATAAATATCATTTAATCCACTCTTTGCAGTTAAAACTATGTACAAACTGAATTATCAAGCGGTATCGTTTACAAAACTGTTAAATCTAATTAAAGTATAGTAATGAATAGTCTACGCAATAATTAATCTAAAAATCTAAAAGTTATGAAGTCATTAGCTCTCTATCTAGAGTCACGTGGCCAAACTTGATTCAGTATGTGCCAGTGGTGAAAAGCACAAAAACTGACCGTATCGGACAGTTTGTAACGAACAAGTTTGCCACGTATTTAAATCAAAATGTATAAAAATCCATTATTTATTATTGTATTTTGTAAACTTACTTCCATGTGTACAATTTGCTGACTATATCTGTAATTCAGATTTTCTGCAAGGGGTATAAATAAACAAACAATTAATTGTCATCTCCGAAAAAAAAAGGAAAGTTATCAGGCTCATTTTCATATGTCATGCAGTTATGCCAGATCTGTTATTTCTCTACAGATAATTTTTTACCCTTTCAGGAGAATATAAGAAATGATCACCAAGGAAGTAAACTCTGATTGTTAAGCAAATTCTCCTTGTCAGCACCTCAGAAAATGTATAGGGAACAGTATGGAGAATATGCATACTGATGTGAGGGTGTCAAATGTATAGGGAACAGTGTGGCATTTATTAAGTTTTTGCTCAATGAATTCAGCTAAGCCAAGAAAATTATGCTGTTAAAACCAGTTAGCTAACTATTATCACAGGTGCTCAATTATCTTATTTGTTACCTATGCCAGCATACAATAGACAATTAATAAAGCAGTAATTGACATAAGTATTTATTACACGACTCGGTNATTATAACATAACCAAAGTAAAGCGCGCGCTCTGATTGGTCAATTTAGCGTCCCCCATTTGCCCATGGGTGTACGCTGCTGACGTGAGCAAATGCAAAGACTATTTTTCCGCGCGCGCTTGTTTTTTCTGGTCACGTAAGATTTGTTAAATAAAAGGGAACTCTTTAGCTACAATGTATCAATGTTATGTTATAAAACAAATGGTAAACACCACAGCGTACACTATTGAGTTATGGATGCACGCGGGAGGTTGCTAAGCACGAAAGAAGCGTAAGAGTCGCTCGAGGCGATAGCCGAGAGCGACTCTAGCTTCTTGAGTGCTTAGCAAACCTCCCAAGTGCATCCATAACTCAATAGTGTACGCTGTGGTGTTTACCATTTGTTTTATAACATAACATTGATACATTGTAGCTAAAGAGTTCCCTTTTATTTAACAAATCTTACGTGACCAGAAAAAACAAGCGCGCGCGGGAAAATAGTCTTTGCATTTGCTCACGTCAGCAGCGTACACCCATGGGCAAATGGGGGACGCTAAATTGACCAATCAGAGCGCGCGCTTTACTTTGGTTATGTTATAATAGAATTTGGCCTGGCTACTCTTGAAGTGAATAGAATCTGAGTGGTAGTGCATCATTTTTTTTTCTACCGCGACTTTTTTGTTTTATTCCCGCGAGTTTCTCTCTTCCTTCCTACCTATGTTGAAAAACGTGACAAACAAAATGCCCCCACAATGCTTATCCACTGTGGCGCGAGCGGGAAAAGGGGAAAGGAAAGGAGAGTTGATAAGATGGAAAAACAATTTAACCCTCGCCCAATAATTACATATTATAGAATGAGATAACTTAAATATGTTTCTCCCAAGGCTCCACCCAAGCCATGTTGGAGGGTGTTTTAGAGACAGTCCCAATGAATCATGTAGCTATTCACTGCCACGACACGTACGGTCAGGCTCTGGCGAATATTCTCACTGCAATGCAAGTAAGTCTGGAATGAACATATGCGAGAACGGCAAACAGTGAGCTGAACTAAGAATTTGCCCGACATTTGCTTTTCTTTTTTTGTTTTTTTCTTTTTCTTTTTTTCATGTTACCTGGGTATTAGAGAGTTATTAAGCCCATGACCACAGCAAACGGCGAAAGTTTTATTTCTTGATTGCCGTTTGATTTGTTTGTGCTCCTAAAGTGAATATGGTTCTCTTCATGACTAAAATATTTTCCTTTCGAATTCATTCTAGGATTATAGGAAAAGTGAGCAGAATCGGAAATCAGTCTTCCTTTACGTACTTTTCCCGATCCTCTATGTATTTTTGTTGTTGTTTTCGTGTGGGTATTCTTTTGATTTCAGGATTATGTGAAAACTTGCCCTTAAAAAATTCACCTGGCCGCATTAAGACCCATTCTCCCACTCGCGTTATGCGCTATCGAAAGCCACTATTACCTTCCATTTCCAAGACATACTTATAACCCATTCACACCGCCGGTTTGAAAGCTTAAACGTACTTTAATGCTGTTCTGTCAAACTCGGATTCAACTTATTTACTTCTTAAAAGCTACTTAGATTAAACCGACGTTTTACGACTTCAAATTTAGAAATATGAAAGTACAAATTAGTGACCACTTGAATCCCTTAGATAATTCAGTTTATCAATTCTTGTTCCTGATTTTCATTAAGTTAAACTTGGTTGTACTAA